CTAAGGACAGAGAGCCTACATGAGGAGTAAGTGCACAGTGACTCCTGTTGTTGACTTCACAAATTGACACTCTTGTTTATGGCCTCAGTAATCACCCTAGGCTCTTGTCATGAGCTGCCAAGGCTATGGAAGCCCCCTGAGTTCACTGACTCTGATCATATTTAGACAAGGCCATGGTCAAAGTGGAAGTTATCTCCTCCCTTCAGAGAAAGGTACCTCCTTCTTTGATGACCCGTTCTTTCCACTGGGATCTCACTCACGGAAATCTTTCATTTAGTTTTTTTTTATTCCCCCAGAGTGTCTTGGCTTTCCATGCCTGAAATACTCTCATGGGCTTTTCAGCCAGATCCGCATGCCTTAAGGGCTGATTCTGAGGCCAGAGTGCTGTTTAGGACATCTGCCATTCTATGGGTCTGCTGTGTATCTCACTTCCCATGTTGGATCATTCTCTCCCTTTTTGATTCTATCAGCTAGTATTTGCAGACACTATTCTTGTTTATGTGATCCCTTTGGTTCTTAGTCCTGTCATTATGATCAATTGTGAACAGAAATTGATCACTGGGACTAGTGAGATGGCATTAGTACATGCTACCTTGATGGGATTGAATTGGACTCCCCTGGTATGTTTCTAACTCTACCGTTTGAGGTAAGTCAGCTTGAGCATGTCCCGAATTGCACATCTCTTCCCTCTCTTATTCCCACTCTTATATTTAACAGTGATCACTTTTCAGTTAAGTTTCAGCACTTAAGAAGAATTGTGTATTGATTACAGTATTCAACCAAAAGTATTAAGTAGAACAAACAAAAAAAATACTAAGAGGGATAACATATCAAGTTGCTCATCAACAGTCAGGGTGAGGGCTGATCAAGTCACCGTTTCTCATAGTGTTCATTTCACTTTAACAGGTTTCCTTTTTGGTGCTCAGTTAGTTGTCACCTATCAGGGAGAACAAGTGGTATTTGTCCCTTTGGGATTGGCTTATTTCACTCAGCATAATGTTTTCCAAATTCCTAACAGGGATCACTTTTCAGTTAAAATTTAAACACCTAAGAATAATTGTGTGTCAATTACAGAGTTCAACCAATGGTACTAGAACAAAAAAAAAATACTAAAATGGATAAAGTATTACATTGTACATCAACCGTCAGGACAAGAGCTGATCAAGTCACTGTTTCTCATATAATTTTTTTAAGCTCAACATCCACATCTGTACAATGGGAATGATAAAACTTCCTTTTCAGGATAGCTGTGAGGTTTGCATATACAAAGATATCTCAAAAGTTTGTGGAAAATGAAATTAAAACACTTATTGATACAAAAAATTAGAAATCATGCATGCATTTTTTACATAATTAGCATTTCCACGAAATTTTTGAAGACCTTTTGTGTGAGTGTGTGCACACATGCACTAGTTAATGTGTGTTTTAGAGGAACACAGATCATTGCACAATGAATACTACCACTAGTAACCATGATACTTTCAAGTCATTATGATATATATTGATTTCAATGCACAAGAACTTTGCTCATTGCAATAATTTACATGTTAAAGATTTGCTTTTGATAAAATGGGTCTTCACATTGATTACAAGTCTGAAGAATAATGACTTCTTAAGTAAACAGTTATTTTAAATCAGAATATAGAACACTTATTTAATAAACCTAAACCTTTGGACATAATATGTATGCATTGCAAATTTAAAACATTTGTTAAAATATACTCAGCAGAATTTCAATTAGATTGTACTTTGTTTATTTATTAAAATGATAAAGAAATAATATTTTATTAAAATATTTAAAATGCAGAGTTTGAACTAATTGGCAGAAATAGCCTCCTCAATTAATCTTAATGTTATGATGAATAATTATTATATTTCTGTCAATAGTCTTTTGTAGGAATATTTTTTCAATGCCATGACTGAATTGCATGGATTATTAGACCATCTCCATATGGGATAAATCAGAATATTCTAGTTTTACATTATTTGGAAAATTACACATAAAAACAATGAGAGATAGTTCCAACCTTCCTAGAATTTAGAAACAAATGATGCCCATAACTTACAATGAAGTTACTCCCAATAAACATTATAAGTTGTAATGCATTTAATTCATCTAATCTTCTCAATATCCTTGCTTAGCAACACGCTATAAATTCTTGATTGTTAACCCTCACCATCACATGGCTGACTGGGAGTATGGCTCACTGCCATGCTCAGCATCACAAGAAAGTACCAGATTTCTAGCCTGGGAAGAGATTAAATTCAACATGTGAAATACACTTTCCACTGCATACAAATCACTTTCATACCATTGTAGTCAGAAAGTCATTAACTCAAACAATTGTAAATTGGGGACCCTCCGTACATTCTGTACATCATTTTTGTTTAGTTTCTGAACATTTATCAATAAGAATGAACGAAAGTTTAGATTCCTTTTATGACAGAAAGATAATAATGGGGAATGTATTTAGCTAATTAGCATTTAAAATTTCATATTGGAGTGGACATTTAGCCTACCTGTTAAGATGCTAGCATTTCACATCAGAGGGCATGGGTTCAATTCCAGCTTCCTGACAACACAGACCCTGTGAGGCAATGATCATGGTGGAGTTTCTACCACCTACTTGGAGATCTGGGTTGTGTTCCTGGCTTCCAGTTTCGTAAACCTGGCCCAATTCCAGTCCAGCCCCAGATGTTGTGGGCATTTGAAAAGGCCAGCAAGTGGGAGTTCTCCTCTGACTCTTTGCCTCTCAAATAAATACACATTTATGTTTACTTTTGATTATTCTCCTCCATGTGAAAGTATATGTGAGATATTTTATTTTTTCACAATAGTGACCACTTGCTCTTATAATATCTTATATTTTATTCTACTCTCTGAAACTCTTCATAATTAAGAGTAAATAATATCTCAATGTCTCTGAGCTTCAGTTTCTTCACTTTAAAATTAGAATAATAATACCAACCATGCCTGCATTGTAGGTTTACATTAAGAATAAGCTGATAATGTTTGCAAAGATACTTTTGAAAAACTGTATTTGCTACACTGATGGAAATTATGATTATTGCATTTTCATCAGATGAAAGTTTAGCTAATCCCATTTTTATGAGTTGTGATGTTCTTGAGATGGATTATTTAACAGATCTTACTTCACTGTTTACCTTACTTCGGGCATGTCTTTAGAATGGAAAAGGAAAAGTTATGTTTATGGTTACATACTTTATGGATTAAGGGCCCTGAAAAGAATCTTGGTTTTATCTTTTTGTTAGGTCAATCAAGTGAGATCTCACAACTCAGGAATGTACTAGTTGTGATTCAAAAACTTTCAGAATTCACTTTTAAATTAAGGTGGATAATGCTGATTACTTTGTCCATGACTTGTAGCTAATCTTATTCTTTAAATCATCAGACAATAGATAAAATATGGAGACAGCATTAAACATTTTAAGTGTACACAGATCCATTAGGAGGATACTATAATATGCAGGTTCCTCTTCCTGAAATACTCTTACTGCCTCTTCCTGTGAGATCCTGACACATACTTCAGAGTCTATCTCACCCCTATCCTTTCGACGATGACAATTACCCAGTTGGAATCAATGTCGTGCCCTCCTCATTCCCCAAACACTGTCTGTTAAACATTTTTGCTGAATGATTCTGATATCCATCAGCTCAGGAACCCATTCTCGCCCATTCTTATGTCTTTTAAGTTATCATGATGCTTTCCATCCTTTCTCATTGTGGTGGGCTTGTTAGCTTTCCCCAAATGCTAATGTCATCTACTTTTGCTTATTTCCCAAATGGACATAATACTGTCAAGAATGGCAACTGTAATCTAGATGTGGACACGTGACAAACTCTAGCTAGTCATTGATTTAGGTGCAGAAATTAAGAGTAAGCATTTGGCACAGTAATTAATTCCTTGCTTGTGATGCCTGCATTCTATTTCAGAGTGCATGGTTGAAGTCCAGGCTGAAGTTGCAATCCAGCTTCTTGTTAATGTGCATCCTGGGAGGCAGTAGAGGATGTCTCAAGTGCTTGGATTCATGCCACCCACAAGGGAGCTCAAGATTAAGTTGCAGGCTCCTGGCTTCAACCTGGCCCACTCCCAACTGGTTGCACAAATTCATATAGTGAACCCATGGATGGAAAACCAAAAATGGAAGATCTATCTCATCTATACACTGATCTATCTAATATCCATCTATCACTTATCTATCATCTATCTGTCTTTCAATAAAGACTCATTTTAAAAATAGCATAAAGTATATGAGAAAATTATGGATTACTCCTGTTTTTGAGGAATTCTTTTTAACTTCCACAGCTTCTTTTCTGTACGAGGCATTTTGAAACACCCAGATGAAAGCAATATTCTAGGAATAATCAAGCAGCATGATATAAGGAGACTGAGCCCTCAACATCATGGAACCATAATTGCAATCCTGGTATCCTTATTCTCAGCTGTTATGTGAGAAAACTATGTTTAAACATCCGTGGCTTTCAGTTTCTATCCCAGTAAAGTCAAACTTATGCCATAATGAATGCACTTCTCCACTCAGCATGTGAAGTGTTATATTTAGGCATTATATGCAAATAATTAAAATGTTTGTACATGTTCATGTATGTGTAAATAATTACATTTCTATGTGGTCTAATAAACTGTTCCTATTGTCTGGGAAGCCTCTAGATTATTTGGTATCCTATGCAACCTTTTCGTCTAAATTAACATACGGTTTTCTTTTGGAAAGTCTTCCATGACCTTACCAATTTATGAAAAATTAATAGAATGTAGTTTCATATTTTAACCCATAACTTATTATAACTGAAAGTACAGAATACTTTGTATAACTTTTAATTTAATGCTTTATTGTCTATAAAACCATACATTTCATGGAGGCAGAGAATCTGTCTGCAAAATTTACTGATGAAATAGGAAATGCTCTATACATTCAGTATTTTTTATGGGAAGGTACAAAGGAAAGAAAGGAGGGAGGGAGGGAGTGAGGGAGGGAGGGAAGGAGGGAGGGAGGAAGGAAGGAAGGAAGGAAGGAAGGAAGGAAGGAAGGAAGGAAGGAAGGAAGAAAAGGAGGGAGGGAGAGGAAGGCTTTGCAGTCATGAATAGGAGGAAAAGTAGAAGTTATCTTGGGATCTCATTGTTTAGGCTCAAAATCTTCCACTTGAAATACCCATAAAATGAAGGAAACCAGTGTTCCTAGAGGGGAGGGGCTTGGATCATGGAATTCATTTCCTCAAGCCCCCTCTTTTTTCTGTGTAGGTAGTGTAGTTGTAAAGTAAGACTGTCCTTATTGGATTGCTTCGTTTCTTTCAATTTTCTTCTAGGTCCAAATAAATCAAAGCTTGAAAACTGTGTATATTTGGAAACCAGCATTACTTCCAAAAAATTCTCTATAGTATTTTGGGACTTATGCCCAGGGTCCTCCATTTTCCCTTATTTCTTGAATAAAAATTTGCCAAGAGGGACTTGATCAGGCCCACCTCTGGCGCTGCCAGCCTGATGGAATTTCCTGGTCCTCTAGGTGGTGCTGGAAATGTCAACTTGAAGGATCGCTGCCAAGTCAGAAAATCACTGCTTATGACTCCACATGCAGATCAGGACAGGTGTCTTCATCTGTTTGTTGGCAGGTTCTGTACCATAATAAGTTTCTGTTTAAAAAATCAATAAAGTTTCTTTTGAAATAAAGATTTTAAATTTCAAGTCAAACGTATTTAACACAATTGACCCTCCTGCTCATTGACGGAAATTCTTCTCTTGGCTTCCAGAAACCCACTCTCTACTGGGGTTCTTCCTACCTCACTGGTCACGGTCTCTTTATCTTTTTTGTTAATAAGCATGTCCCATAACTCATTCCCAGAACCAACTCTCTTTTCTAACTATACTTCATCAAAGATTTCATCTGAACTCACAGCTCTGAATGTAGCTATGCTGATGACTCTCAATTCTATATCTTCAACCGTACTCCAGGGGAATAAATTTGACTGCCTCCATGACAGTTTCTTTTGGCTGCCCAAAGTCTTCACAAACTCACTATATCAAAAACTGAACTTTCATCACATCTCCAGATTTGCATCTTCTCATTTAATTGAAATTCAGCAATACCAATTGTGAGAACAAATGTTGCATTAGAGTGTCAGCTTTGATGGCTCTATTTCACTTTGAGATACTAATTCTATCAAGGTATCTAAACCATACTAACTTCAAAATATGTCTGTATTGTGGCCATTTTTCAATACTTTCACTGCCACTATTCTGTCTTGTAGCAGCTGCATCTCATATATATATTATTGAAACAACTACTCTGTGGTTTCCCTGCTTTTACAAAATCCTTGGTCCTCACCACCTAAAGAGAAGCCAAAGTAGTCTTAAAAATAGAAATCAGATCACTTGCTTTTAAAACATTGTGTTGGCTTTTAAAACACTGTATTGGCTCTCCATTCCACACCAAGTTATAGCCCAGGGCCTTTTCTCCGTGGCTTTGTATGATATGCCCTCATGACCTTCCCTGATCTTAACACCTCCTCCTCTACCTCTTTCTTACTTTGCTTCAGACACACAGGACTGCTTGCTAATCTACAAATGCATGAGGCAATGAGGCAGTCTCTCATACACAGGACATCAAATTGCCATTTCTTCCACCTTAAGATTCCTCTCCCCACAGAGCCACAAATCTAACCCTCTTAGTGTCTTTGGACCTTGCTTAAATATCAGATCATTAGGGTACGTATTCTCCCGGCAGTTACGATGCTGTTTGGGGTACCTTCATCCAACGTTGGTAATGTCAAGACTCAAGTCCCAGCTCTGCTCCCAATTCCAGTTTCCTATTAATGTGCACCCTGGGAGACAGCAAATGATGGCTCAAGTAGCTTGGTCCCTGACACCCATGTGAGAGACCTGATTGTACCTGAGTCTCAGCTTCAGTATAACACATCTCTGGCTATTGTGGGGATTTGTGGAATAAACCAGTAGATGGAAGATTCCATCTTTCTGTCTCAAATGAAAGAAATGATAAAATTTTAAAAATTTTTTAATTTTTTAAAATTTATTTGACAGGTAGAATTAGAAAGTGAGAGAGAGAGACAGAGAGAAAGGTCTTCCTTCAGCTAGTTCACTCGCCAAATGGCCACCACGGCTGACACTGCGCTGATCCGAAGCCAGGAGCCAGGTGCTTCTCCTGGTCTCCCATGCGGGTGCAGGGCCCAAGCACTTGGGCCATCCTCCACTGCCTTCCCGGGCCACAGCAGAGAGCTGGACTGGAAGAGAGGCAATTGGGACTAGAAGTTGGTGCCCATATGGGATGCTGGCACCGCAGGCGGAGGATTAACTAAGTGAGCCACGGTGCCTGCCCCCAATTTTTTTTTAAATGCTACCACTTCCTCAGTGAGGTCCACCCTGCATCATTACACTACCGCCTGGTACTCCTAATCCTCCTAATTGCTGTATTTTCTTTAACTATAGTACTTTCACCTTCTAACATTTTATATAACTGATGTATTTATTATGTACGTCATATGTTGTTTGTCTCTTTCACTAAACTATAAGCTAAATAGTGTCATATTTAATTTTAATTATAGCTATAACAGCTTCTGGCACATACTAGCAGTTTAATATATATTTACTAAATAACTGACACTTTCACACTAGAAACAGGAAGAGGTCAAGTTTTCCTGCTACCACCATTACTACCCAGTAATATACTGAATACCCAGATCATTGCAAGAGGAGAAGGAATAGGAAGATTTGATATTTAATATGAAAGTAAAGTGAAAACTGTGCCTATGTACATATAATATGGTTATCCACCCATACAGCCAAGAAATCATTTTTTAAAAAATAGGCAAACAGTTTGATTTTATCTCACAGACTCAACACAGAACATTTCTGTGACCCAATAAATGTGGATTTATTTCCCCACACTGACCAATTCTCCTACAATAGTTGACTGTCATATAATTCAATTCAGTTTTGACACTAACCTCAGTTCGGACCCTACAGGTTACAGGATTCAACACCACAAAATTGCCCTCCATTCAGGTGCCAGCTGCAAATCCCAGGTTGTCTTACCTGTGTTTCTAGGCAACCAGCTATAAATTAGAAGTTCCCACAGCCCCCTGTTTAGGTTTTGTTATTTGCTAAAATTGTAGCTGAAATTCAGAGAAACACCTCACATATTATAAGATGATATAAATTAAGAGATACATAAACAAAAGTATGAGGGAGCAAAGTGGATCTTCCATGCTCTTTGAAAGGCATACCACTCACCAATCTCTTCCATATTAAGCAACAGAGCAGTTTGAATGAACTCTATCCTTTTGATTTTTTTATGGATACTGTCTTAATTCCAGGGGCATGATTGATTACATAATTGGCATTGGTTATAAACTCAACGTTCTGCCTCTTCTTTCCCTGGAGGTTGGAGGTGGACTGAAAATTCCCATCCTGTAATCACATGGTTAGTGCCCTTGGCAACTAGCCCCTGTCATGAGCATGCCCAGCATTCCGCAGTTGCCAGTCATCTCATTACCATGAAAAGACACTTACCCCTTTGGGAATCCCAAGGGTGTTTAAGGGCAATGTGACCAGATAAGGAGAGGAAAACTAAATATATATTTCTTTTTATTTTTTAATTTTAATAAACATTTGTTTATTTGAAAGTCAGAGAGAAAGATCTTGCAGTCACTGGTTCAGTTCCTAAATGCAAGCAACAGCCAGGGCTGAAAACCACATTTGTGACAGGTCTCCCACATTTGTGACAAGGAGCTGAGTACCTGGGCCATTCATTATCTGTTTTCTTCCAGGCATATTGTTAGGAAGCTAGATTGAAAACAGGAGAAAAGGCCGGCGCCATGGCTCAATAGGCTAATCCTCCGCCTTGTGGCGCCGGCACACCAGGTTATAGTCCTGGTCGGGGCACTGGATTCTGTCCCAGTTGCCCCTCTTCCAGTCCAGCTCTCTGCTGTGGCCAGGGAGTGCAGTGGAGGATGGCCCAAGTGCTTGGGCCCTGCACCCCATGGGAGACCAGGAGAAGCACCTGGCTCCTGGCTTCGGATCAGTGTGGTGCGCCAGCCGCAGCGGCCATTGTGGGGTAAACCAACGGAAAAAGGAAGACCTTTCTCTCTGTCTCTCTCTCTCTCACTGTGCACTCTGCCTGTCCAGAAAGAAAGAAAGAAAGAAAGAAAGAAAGAAAGAAAGAAAGAAAGAAAGAAAGAAAGAAAGAAAATAGAGGAGAAAGGACTCAAACTAGGTACTTGAACATGGTATATGGGCATCCCAAGTGGTGAATTTAAACATTGAATCACAATGCCCACCCTTATATTTCTCTTAATCACAATATCACAGTCACCTGAAGAGATCTATAACTAATGAAAGAATTCTATAAGGAGGTCAAACTCATCTTCAATACATTTTTTTTAAATTCTTTTTCTGGTGACAGCATTGTGGCACAGCAGGTTAAGAGGCTGCCTGTAATGCCAGTATCCTATATGAGTGCTGGTTCAAGTCCCGGCTTCTCTATTGCTAATGGCTTGGGAAAGAAGTAGAAGATGTCCCAAGTGTTTGGGTCCCTGCCACCTACAGGGGAGACCCAAATAGAGTTCCGGGCTCTGAGTTTTAAAATGGCCTACCCTGGCTCTTTCAGCCATTTGTGGAATGAATCAGTGAAGAAAAATCTCTATCTGTTTCTTGATATCTTTCTCTAAGTCTGCCTTTCAAATAAATAAATAAAACATGTTTTTTAAAAAAATATTTTTCTCTCCCCATTGTAATTGTATTAGCTAACCATTACTATAGTGTAAGACAGACTAATTTAAAAAAAAAAGTTTATTTTAGCTTATGGTTTTGGAGGGGCAAAGTCTAGGAGCCTCATTTGACGATGGCCTTCTCTCTGACAGGACTCTGAGATGGTTCTAAGCATCACATGCTAGAAATGGGAAACGTATGTGTGTGTTTGTTGTCATCAGACCACCTGGATTTAGTTATGGGGGGGCTCCATCCTGAATATCTCATCAATTGCATCACTTCCAAAGCCCCACCTCAAAAGAAAATCATAACTCAACTAAATCTCCACCCTCTTGATGTCATTACCTTAAGACTTTGAGAAATAACCTCTTGGGATTGGTGTGATGAATATTCATAACATCACAATCATCAACTTTTGAAAGTAAAATCATGGACAGTACAGGAAAGTGAAAATTGTCCTACTAAAGGTACTGACAGATTAAGATGGACAGGACAGAAGCCAGTGTGGTGGCACAACACGTTAAGCTGCTGCCTGCAGCAAAATGAAATGAAAATCCCCAGTTTGAGTCCCAGCTGCTCTGCTTCCAATCCAGCTCCCTACTATTATTCCTGGGAAAGCAGTGAAAGATGACCCAAATTCTTGGGCCCTTACCAACCACATGAGATGCAGATTGAAGCTTCTCTCTTTCTATCTCTCCCTCTCTCTCCCTCTGGAACTCTGCATTTCAAATAACAGAATAAAATGGTGGGTTTTTTTTTAAGTTTAAATTTAAAGATTGGGTTCAGTGCTGTGGTGTAGCAGGTAAGTCCTCCACCTGCAGTGCTGGCATCCTATATAGGTACCTGTTCAAGTCCCAGCTGCTCCACTTCAATCTAGCTCCCTGTTAATATGCTTGGGAAAGCAGGGGAAGATGGCCCAAGTCCTTGGGGCCCTGTACCCATGTGGGAGACCTGAAAGGAGCTCCTGGCTTCTGGCTTCAGATCAGCCCAGCTCCGGTCGGTGTGGCTATTTGGGGAGTGAACCACCAGATGGAAGATTTCTCTCTCTCTGCCTCTGCCTCTTTGTAACTCTGCATTTCAAATTAATAAATAAATTTTAAAAAATAAATAAATAGGGACCTGCACTGTGGCGCAGTGGGTTAGAGCCTCAGCCTGCATTGCCAGCATCCCATATGGGCACCGGTTCTAGTCCCGGCTGCTCTACTTCCAATCCAGCTCTCTGCTGTGGCCTGGGAAAGCAGTAGAAGATGTCTCAAGTCCTTGAGCCCCTGCACCTGCATGGGAGACCCAGAAGAAGCTCCTGGCTCCTGGCTTCGGATCAGTTCAGCTCTGGCCATTGCGGTCATTTGGGGAGTGAACCAGTGGAATGGAAAACCTCTCTCTCTCTTTCTCTCTGGCTCTACTTCTCTCTCTTAACTCTGTCTTTCAAATAAATAAAATAATTCCTTAAACAAATGTAAATAAATAAAAGATCAACAGGACAGGAGCTGGTGGTTCCCCAATTCCTGCTTCCTGCAAATGCAGACCCTAGAATGCACCTATGATAGAAAGAGTTTGGGTCCCTGCCACCACTGCAAGAGATTTTGGACTGAATTCCTGGTGCCTGGATTTGGCCCCAGCCCAGGCTCTGCTATTGTGAGGACTTGGAGAAGGAAACAGCAGATGGGAGTACTCTCTCTCTCTCTCTACTCTCTCTCTCTCTCTTCCTCTCTGTATTACAAATAGAAAAAAAAAAAAATAACAGGAGAAAATGCCTGCAAACTTATTTACACACATGAGCATAAGAATGATATACTGTCTTAATGGGAGAGGAAAGGGGATTATAGCAATTTTAAAGAGTAGTAAATGATTTAGTGGGGAGAGAATGAAGCTGAAGAACAGATAATGTCCTGGGAAAACTTTTCTCTGGGCACTAGGTGTGGTGTCTGGTTTTCAGTTTCTTCCTCTATGATGACTTTAATGGTCCACGCTTAATGTGATTTCAGGAAGAAGACTTAAACCTTTTTGTTGAATCCTCTCTTTAGGTAAACAAGGGAATTTTAGTAAAGGAAGGATCATGTGAAAGGGAAGAGCAAGGGACAGCTCAAAGAGACCTTGAGGCTACTTTTTGAGTTCAGCATATCAGAGCACCAAACTTTGGCGTATCATTTTCTCAGCTTCAATGATAGGAAAAGATATGATTTGCAGTAACAGAAGTAAAGTAAAATACCTAAAAATATATCTAATATAAAAGTTTCTAGGGAGCCGGCGCCGTGGCTCAATAGGCTAATCCTCCACCTTGCGGCGCCGGCACACCGGGTTCTAGTCCCGGTTGGGGCGCCGGATTCTGTCCCGGTTGCCCCTCTTCCAGGCCAGCTCTCTGCTATGGCCAGGGAGTGCAGTGGAGGATGGCCCAGGTGCTTGGGCCCTGCACCCCATGGGAGACCAGGAAAAGCACCTGGCTCCTGGCTCCTGCCAGGATCAGCGCGGTGCGCCGGCTGCAGCGGCGGCCATTGGAGGGTGAACCAGCGGCAAAGGAAGACCTTTCTCTCTCTGTCTCTCTCTCTCACTGTCCACTCTGCCTGTCAAAAATAAAAAAAAAACAAAAAATCATACTCATAAATCAGCCATTTATCACAAAAATAAGACTCTGTAACAGATTTATACCAAGTTGAATTTGTGATATAGCATAGATTTCAAATGAAATTATAGAAGTATTGGGAAAAGTATTGGAGATATTATATAATTTCTTTATAGGGAAGTTTTCCAATAAAACAAAAATCACAAAACTTAGAAAGCCTAAAGAATAAATTGTCATTTTTCCCTCACAAAAATAAAAACAATTAGAGCAAAATAGATTACCACACCATCACTAAAATTCTGGATAACTATCCAACTTACATAAAGAGTTTCTTCATATCAGTAGAAAATAAGACAAGACTCCTAGCAGGCAAAATATATGAAAACACAGTTTACAGAGAAAGAAAAAAAAGAAAAATATACAAAAGATAATCCCACTTGATAGGGAAATACAAAGTTAAAGAAGCATAGCATTTTGTTTTACACATTTAACAAGGAAATATTTCCAACATTAAATATTTCCCAAAATATGGGGGTATTAAACCTCATCTAACATTCCAATATAACAAGTGAAGACTTTTTAATTCATTATTTAAAGATTCCCCTGCTACTCACTCTTGATTCACTCTGAGCCCAAAAGGAAAAAAAAAAAAGTCTAATTGAGAGAAAGAAACAATCAGAATGGAATACAAGAAGCACTCTACTATTTTTTTAAGGATGTCATTGATTGGAAATACAATAATTCAACCAACATTTATTAAGTGCCGAGGCCTCTAAATTATAGATGGAATAGAAAACAAAACAAAAATAGTGAATCAGAGTCATTCCAGTTAATTTCCTTGAATACATGATCTGCTGGATGAGGAAGACCCTCTCACCAGTATAACTTACCCAAGATAGATTGTTAAGTGCTCCAATAAAGGGGCATACCAAGTGCTATGGGACCATGGGGAGGAAGAGATTAATCACTACCATTACCACATTTTAAAAAATCAATTTATCAGGATCCTAGCTTTGTAATTAAAGGAAACTTGCCAAGGCACTTAGAACAAAAAGATCTTTGTACTCGTGTAATCCTCTTCCTAACCCTCTTCTCCAGGCCATTCTACCCAGTGGATTACATAGAATCATATTTTTTTTTCTTTCAACATGTTGGTCTAACTATGACTCAGAACCAGAGACTCACTCTGGATACAATATCAACACTGAATATGGCTTCACTCTTGCCATTTATAGTCTCAGAAATACCATATAATAAAGGTCATTCATTT